CCAACAGGCGATGAATGACATGCTTCAAGTACACTCAACATCTCAATCTCGGGCACACATCGACGAATAATTCCATCGGCACAACTACGATACAAGTAAGGCTCATCCCAAAAGAATTTCTTCACATCATGCATAAACTTTTTCCTTTGGTGAAAAGACAAGTCCAGGAGCACCAAATCGCTTGCCAAAGAATTAGCAAAGTCTGCGGACCAAGGAATCAGATCATGAGAAGCAGCCAATACCTATTCATCTGGAAAAGTATCATTAATTTCAACCCTATCACCAAGCTTTAACATAGCCTCTTCCTCTAATCTGGACAAGTGATCGGCAACTTGATTTTCTGAACAAGTGATCGGCAACTTGATTTTAAGTCCTCTTTTTATCTCTCACCACAAAATCAAACTCTTACAACAACAATACCCATTTAGTCAACATCGGTTTTGCATCCTTCTTCGTCATTAAATACCTCAATGCAGAATGGTCAGTATGCACTATGACTTTAGTACCAAGAAGGTAGGATCGAAATTTTTTGAATGCGAAAACCACCGCAAGAAGCTCTTGTTCAGTCACATATAATTCTTCTGGGCCACATTTAGAGCTTTGCTAGCATAGTAAATAGGATGGAGAATTTTCTCTCGCATATGTCCCAATACTACACCAAGAGCCACTCCACTCACATCATACATTACCTCAAACGGTTGTCCCCAATTCGGTGAAATAATGATAGGTGAAGTAACTAGCTTCTCCTTCAATTCTCCAAATGCTCTTAGACAAGCATCATCAAAATATAACTTACACTCCTTCTCGAGCAGTTTGCACAAAGGATGTGCAATTTTGGAGAAATCTTTGATGAACCTCCTATAAAAACCTGCATGCCCAAGAAAACTCCTAACACCTTTTACAAAGATAGGTGGAGGAAGTTTTTCTATTACCTCAACTTTCGCTTTATCTACCTCAATGCCCTTCTCAGAAATCTGATGACCTAGAACTATCCCTTCTTTCACCATAAAGTGGCACTTCTCCCAATTTAGCACCAGATTGCAATCTTCACACCTTTTAAGCACCTCAGCCAAATGATTCAGACATCGATCAAAAGAGTCACCTACCATAGAGAAATCATCCATAAATACCTCAATAGTGTCCTTCACCAGATCAGAGAATATCGACATCATACAATGCTGGAAGGTCGCTGGAGCATTGCACAACCCAAAGGGCATCCATTTGAAGGCGAAAGTCCCATAAGGGCAAGTGAAGGTGGTCTTCTCTTGGTCCTCCGGAGCTATAGAAATCTGATTGTAGCCCGAATAACCATCAAGAAAACAATACCAACCCTTACCAGCAAGTCTATCCAACATCTGATCCATGAATGGCATAGGGAAATGGTCATTTTCTATCCAAGCATTTAGCTTCCAGTATTCCATGCAAACTCTCCATCCAGTCACGGGCCGCATCGGAACAAGCTCGTTTCTCTCAATATGAACCATAGTAATCCCACCTTTCTTGGGAACACATTGAACAGGACATACCCAACTACTATCTGTAATGGGATAGATAACTGCAGCATCCAACCACTTGATGATCTTCTTTTTAACTACCTCTTGCATAGGCGCATTTAATCTTCTTTAGTGCTCAATACTAGGTTTGTGATCTGGCATGAGTTGGATTTTGTGGGAACAAATACCGGGAGGAATCCCAATAATATCCGCAATAGTCCACCCAATAGCTCGCTTGAACCTCTTTAACACAATCACCAAGCACTCTACTTGTCTCGCATTTAATTCTGCCGCAATGATGATCGGCAAAGTATTATCTCTACCCAACAATACATACCTCAAATGCGGTGGTAGAGCCTTGAGCTCCAATTTTGGTGCCTCCACAATAGATAGTCTCGCGACCACAATTCTTCGTGTCTAACTCATACTTCTTTGGTTTTGACCAATATTCGCACCTATCGAGTGCAGCCACCAACTCATCGTACTCTTCAATACCATCACTATCAAAATTCATCATAATTGTTGCTAGTACCTATACACCGAGTCGCTCTTCAATTTTCACTTCTGTTCCACTCTCAACTCTATAAGTTATAGCAGATACCGTTTGGAGCTCACCACTCTGCTTCATGGACCTACAATTATTGAAAGTTGCTTCTTCATTGTTTAGTCTGAACTTCATCTGTCCCTTCTCCATATCAACTAACGCATGCCCTATGGCAAGGAATGGTCTCCCAAGGATGATGGGAACCTCACAGTCAAGAATCACAAAATCCGTCGGAAAGATGAACGACTCCACTTTCACTAGCACATCATGGAGTACACCAATGGGCCTTTTCACGGTTCGATTGGCCATAAGTAACTGCATCGTAGTAGGCTTTAGATCCCCTAGACC